AGAATATCCTCTGTGAATATATCTAGGTGTCTGGGATGTGATACACTCTCATCCCATGTCTGTGTGTGGTATGTCATTTTAAAATATCATACCACACTGTTCTCTCACTTCTGCAGCTAATGCCCTCCAAATTTGCACACCCGCAGCTCTTGCATGCTCCTCCCGGATCCAAAAAACAGCGAGGTGAAATACCATCTACACATGCTGCTGTGAAGGGTGACTTCTCAGGTAGAAGGTGTTCAGTACAGGCAGACACACACATGTAAATATGCTGCAAGGTGCTGCAATACATTCAGATGCGATGCAGAGGTGCATTCCAAAAGTATGAGGGACAGATACAGAGATGGGCAACATGTTGAGCTCACTGTGTCTGACAGTGAGCTCGCTGTTTGAGACAGTGAGCACCACTGGTAGCACAATTGCCGACCTCGGTAACAAAAACTCGGTATTGAAGGCCGGAGGACCAACAGTGAGCACCGGGATTACCGATCTCGGTATTCAAACCTCGGCATTGAAGGCCAGAGGTCAGCGAGAGCACTGGCAGTGAGCACCGGGATTACAGACCTCAGTAATAAAAACTCGGCATTGAAGGCTGGAGGTGTCCAAAAACTCGGTAATGAGGACGAGCAATGGATACCGGTGGTCAAAAACTCGGCATTGAAGTCCGGAGGTGACCAAAAACTCGGTGATGGATTCAGGCAGTCAAAAACTCGGTAATGAGGACTGCTGATTGATACCGGTGATCAAAAACTCGGCAATGGGTGCAAAAAACTCGGTAATGAATACAGGCAATCAAAAACTCGGCAGTGAGAGCGGTAATATGCACAGGTGGTCAAAAACTCGGTTGTGAGAGTGGTAATACACACAGATGACCAAACACTCGGTATTGGATACCAGGTGTCGAAATCTCGGTAATGGAGGGACTGCCGGAATCTCGGTAATGGAAGGGCTTCCGGAATCTCGGTAATGAATGCACTGCCGGAAAATGCAGGTGTTTACTGGAGGACATCTTGTACAAGTGTTCGCACTGTTTGAGCTCCGCTGCCACAACCAGAGCATATACAGCACTAAAATCAAGTGCGCTATTCTCGGCACACCCGTGCGCATCTACCGAACGCATTACCGAAAAAAACGAGGTTCACCGGGGGACAACTCGTACGACCGTCTCAGACGGAGTACAAGCTCGTACGAGCTTCTGCAGTGTTTCAAGTCTGCCACCTTAACCATGCCATGCATGGCAATAAAACAAAGTGCGCTGTGTTCCAGTGATCTCCAGAAATGCATTGCACGCATTACCGGAAATTTTTGATACCCACCAGGAGCACCTCGTACGACCGTTCCAGACGGGGTACAGGCTCGTACGAGTCTGCATACCATTTCGACAATATCTTCATAACTACGGCTTGTACAGCGAATAAATCAAGTTCGCTATTCTCAACGTATCCGTGCCCATCTACCGAAAGCATTACCGAAGAAAAATGAGGTCCACTGGGGACAACTCGTACGACCGTCTCACACAGGGTACAGGCTCGTACGAGCCTGCATACTGTTTCGACTCTCCTGCCTTAACTACAGTGTGCAAAGCGACGAAACAAAGTGCACCATGTTCCGGTAACCTTTGGCAATTCACGCCATTCATTGCCGAGATTTCCGGGTGTCCGCTCTCTTAGAGGTACTCGTACGACCGTCTGAGACAGGTTACAGAGTCGTACGAGCCTGAGCACTGTTCTGACTCTCCCTCTGTAACCACAACACACACGGCAATGGAATTGTGTGCGCTGCGTTCAGTACACTCGCGCGCATATGCCGAATCCGTTACCGCAATATTCCGGGTGCACACCGGAGGTGCCTCGTACGACCGTGACAGACGGCTACAGGCTCGTACGAGCCTGGGCAGCGTTTTTGTTACCCCAGGCCAACCATGGCACGCATCGCAACGAAATTGAGTGCGCTGCATTCGGTACAGTAACGCGCATCTGCCGAATCCATTACCGCAATATTCCGGGTGCACACCGGAGGTGCCTCGTACGACCGTGACAGACGGCTACAGGCTCGTACGAGTCTGGGCAGTGTTTTCAATGCCCCGGGCCAACCACAGCACGCATGGGGATAAAAACCAGTGTTCCGAGCTCGTACGACCCAGGGGAACGTAGCGAACGCATTACCGAAACGTACGGTGCAGTAGGGCGCAATGTACGCAGTGGGACGTGCTACTACCGGAACCAGCATCCCCTGCTATATCAGCCCGGTATTGGCTTCCCTGGGGCTGCGGGATGTTCTTGCGCGTATGTAGCACACTAGAGGACCTCAAAGCACGCAAACGACAGCCAGAATGATACATTTGGCATTGTATATTAGGGATCACCACGGGTAACCCTCGGGTCGTCTGAGGGCTACCCGTACCCTTACCCGCGAATACCGTGACCCGTGTAGCGCGGGTGAGGGTACGGACGGGTCCAGTCATTCAACCCGAGGGTCGTGAGGGGTATGGACCCTTCACGGGTTACCCGCGGGTTCATTACCACGTAAGTATCATATGTAGTAAGCTTTAGTATTATATGTGTATCTACAATCAGACACGAAGCACCATTGCGCAATGTCCATGGCCGAAAGAATGTTGAGCGCGGTGCCCATCCCGTGCTCGCGTCTACTCGGTGTCCTCCAGCCATGTCCTCCAGCCAGAGCCCCACCCAGTGCCTCCGAGTCTCCCGCTCGCCTTCTGCGGCCCTCTCAAGACTCAAGCCTCTGATAGCCCCGTAGACGACTCGTGGCGTGGCGGCTTCCACACCCGCTTCCACCGGTGACCGATCCGCCACGGCCATCGAACCCACGCGCTCCGCTGCACGGCGACGGGAAAGGCTCGAGCCCCACTCGTGCCGTTGCGTGGCTGAAACGTGACGTGAAAGCCTCCGCTCTTGGCCTTCCTCTCCCTCTATCGCGCGCGATGGCCACAGAGCGCAAAGCGCATAAAGGACCCCCACGCTTTCGTCCACCTGCCCTCGCGCAGTCTGGGGAACGAGTGTTGCTGTCGGGAACAGTGGCGGCGCTTGGCGAGCCGCGAGCGATGGTCGATGGTGGGTGGCCCATGAGAGGCGGCCGTGGCACGTGAGGACAGGAATTGGCGTGCAGGCCGCCCCCTACGGACGGTGATTCTCCGGGAGGAAGGCGGTACGAAGGAAGGCGGTACGAAGGAAGGCGGTACGGAGCAGAATGAGGCAGAGCCGGACGAGGCTGGTGTGGGCGCAAAGAAGGGAAGCGTGAAGGGTGATGAGGTAGAGGCGGACAAAGTGGAGGGTGGCGTGGGCGTGTTGAAGGGCGTGGGCACGAAGTAGGGCAGCGCAGAGGGTGATGAGGTGGAAGATTGAACGCACGCGGACGCCGGAGAGAGGCAACACTGAGGAGGGCAGTGCGTCGATCCGGAGCACGTTGTGGGAGAGGGCAAGACGCTCGACAGTCACGCGGAAGAGCATTGTGGTGAAGGGCGATAATCGGAGGAAGGCGGGGACGTGTGCGCATGCCCAGAACACGGGCAGTTGGGTGTGTCCAGCGCGAGGAGTTGAGCGCATCGAGTGCGGGGAGGTGAACGTGTCCGGTGTGGGGAGAGGAACAGAGATATGAACAGGCTGCCGTGTCCAGCGTGGGGAGGTGAACACGTCTGGCGCAAAGAGAGGAACATGTTGGATGTGGGGAGGTGGAACGTCGAGCATGGGTAAGTCAGCCCATCGCATCCCAACCCCGCTTCATCTCATAGTCGTCGCCCTTCTTCTCGACTTGGTCCAACTTGCTGATGGTGGCGAGGTCGTCGTTGTTGATGAGGTCGTGCAAGGACCAGCTGCCAAGACAGAGGAGTGCGCGCGTCGTCTGCGCACTCATCCGATTGCGAGTGTACGGGAGGAGGAGACGACCGCGGCTGAATACACGCTCAACTTCGATAGATGTAGCTGTGGAAAGTTAGGTCAGCACGACTACTACATCTGCAGATGCACTTCAGAACGCACCTGGAATGAGAAGGTAATCGCGGGCCATGCGGCTCAAGCAAGGATACACGGTCGCTTGAGCTCGCCACCATGCTAGAGGGTCGGTGACCGGGACGCGTATGATTGGATCTGCGAGATATCGTGTGAGCTCGTCATGGGCCTGCACATTCCCCAAATGGTGGAACGCCAGGTTGTCGAACATGTCTTGTTCGTCGTCGTCGCTGTCCTGTAGAAATACACTGTCAGGCGACCCGCTGCTGCGCGACTTCGCGATTGAAGAATTACGTACGGGTAGCCTGCTGCTCTTTGCAGGTGTTTCGTTGCCTCCGTGCTTGGCCGGCTGGTTGTAGACACTGTCGAACTCGTCGCGAACGAGCTGCTCAGCTGTGTCGATCCACTTCGGCTCCCACTTCTGGCTCCGGAAGTAATCGAGTTTGTAGTTGGGATGAAGGACTAGGAAAGGTAGTATCAATAGTGATGTAAATAGTTGTAGACTGAAGGAGAGGACTTACCCATTGCAATACGATAAGCCTCCGTTGAGTCTGTGAGCGAATAGTACTTGTTGAGCACGCGCTTCGCAAATGAGCATGCCCCCCGAATTGCGGGATCAAGCAGCTGGCCAGTCGAAGTCGTGCTGCCCTCACACTGGAGGGTGGTCAGCTTCTCGTCGAACATGTCCATGGTTGGGATGACCGAGGCGAGGGTGGGGCTTCCAGGGAGACGTTGACGCTTGGAGAAGAAGAGAGTGGCAGCCTTGAAGATCTGGAGTGTGTGGGCCGAGCGTTGGCATGGCGTAGAGCGCAGACAAGGGAGGGAGGAGGGAACGGAGAGACCGGGGTGTTGAACGGTCGAGTGAGGGGCGGGCAAGAGAGCAACGGCCAAGAAAGCGCGCGGTGGAATGGGCGCCGGCAGCGTGGGTGCAGAAGGACGAAATTAGCAGCCAACCGCACGCACGGAAGACATGGTGCCATACGGTGGTGGGAGTGCGATTACGAGCACAGCAGACAAGGTCAGTGTTTGATATCAACCCGAGCGCGCTCTGCTCACCTTCAGAACATCCACCAGCTGCTCTACAATCGTCCACTCTGCTCTCGACAGCGCGAACTCCCCCAGGTCGATCCCATGGTCGCCGTCGTCAACAGTGAAGGAGCGGATCGCTATCTTCAACCGCAAGACCATCTTCAGCATGTCGAATGTTGAGTTCCACCGCGTCCGAACATCCCTGGGGATCATGAGCACGGCAAAGCCACGATCAATCAAGTGCTTCTTCCATGCCGGCAGCAACTTGGTCGTCGACTTGCGGATCTTCACAGCGAGGCGACGGATCTGCATGGCAGCACAAAATGTGAGTATATCGCGCTGGTCAGAACCTCCTCGCATATACACGTACCTTGGTCAAGACCCCACGGACCGGACGCACGCTCTTGTAAAACTCCGCGAGCTCGTCCGGAGTCATTCCCGCCATCTCATCCACCCACTCATCGGCGCTGACCTCGCCCAGCCCCGCATTGTCGTCAGTGACCAACACATCTCCCTCCTCCCCGGCCTCTGATCCCTCCCCATCGTCGTCATCTTCCTCCTCGTCCTCCATCTCCTCAATGACATCTCCATTCTCATCGAACTCCTCTTCGTCTTCTTCTGCCGCTCCTTCACAGTCCTCTTCCTCTGCTCCAGAGTCGTCCGGGTTCTCACCATTACCTTTCTTTTTAGGTCTCTTACGTGGCTCAAATTGCTTCAACAGCCCCCAGCTGATCAGCTGTACAACGTGGCCGAAGCAGCGAACGTGCCCCATGGTGGCACGCCACATCTCGTCCATCTCCTCCTCCATCTTCTCGACCATTTTGTCATTCGCCGACGCACTGTCACATGTGGTGCCAAGAACCTGTGTATGTTTCTCAGTCAGTCACTGCATTTCTCCGATTCAACTTATTGACACTCCAGCCTCCGGACGCGACGCACTGCAAGATGCGCTGCCCGATGCGCCGCAAGACGCGCTGCCTGATGCGCCGCAAGACGTGCTGCCCGACGCGCCGCAAGACGCGCTGCCCGACGCGCCACAAGACGTCCCACACGACAAGCTGCAGGCCCCGACGCACTGCAAGACAGCCGCGTGACACGCCACATGATACACTGCAAGACGCATGGCCCGACGCGCTGGTCGACGCGCTGGCCAACGTGCTGACCAACGCGCTGGCCAACACGTTGGCCAAAGCGTTGCAAGATGCGCTGGCCGACGCGCTGCACAACAAGCTGCAAGATGCATCGCACGACGAACCACACGGACAATAACCACGCGCTGAATCCAGCAGTGGGTTGAGAGTCGAGACTCAAGACGGTACGCTCACCTTGTTTTCAATCTCGAACTCTTTCAAGACGCGCACCATCTCCTCTGCCAGAGTTTCCCCTGTGTGAGCCTGAAAGTCCGCAGACGATTAGAACTGACCCTGGATGCTAGCAGATCAAATTATATACCTTGGGTATCTCGACAATATCAAGAACCAAGCACATAGGTGCATTCTCATGGACCACATGCACCGTGATGGCCATGAGCGCGTGGCCGTTCGGAGACGTCCAGCAGTCCGTTGCAATGCTGAGCCGACCATCGTAGTCCTGTTGGTAAGTAGAGATGCTGTGAGCTGTGAGGTGATTTGATACTAATGCAGGACTCACGCAAAGTAGACGACGAAGACGCCGGCGTGTACGAGCGAACAGCAATTTGGTATCGCGCGCAACCGTGCTCGGCGACGGAACCATGAACCCCGGTCGTCCTGATTTCAAGATAACTTGAAGGTGCGTGTCCTTGACGATCTCAAATGGGCGGTACGACTCAGCACACCACCGGACAAACTCGCACCTTGACAGTGATTAGATTCACGTACAACAGCTCAGACAGCAATAAAGTGGGCTCACCGTGTCTCGGACGCAGTAAGCTGCCGATGTGAGTACGTGACCGTGTTCTTACTGGTGGCTTTGAAGTACTTATTGATGCTTTCACTTGTCGTCGCCTTGACAATATTCGCCCGCACTTGCTCCGCTGAGAGCTTGTTGTTGCGCGCGCGATCAACAGCTTCGTGCCCGAAGCATTTTGTGGCATGCTTGAGTAAGTTGCTCGTGGACGATACATCACCCGTGTTGAGGAAGCGATTAACATTTCTTGTAGAACCCCGACAGATTGTCGCCGAGCATCGGAAGACATGGGCACGACGACCCTGGATTTCCTTGACAGCAGGCCGCGGATCGAAGAAGCCATACGCATGTGAACCCCAACGTTCCAGCATAGCATCTGCAGTGCACCCACAGCGAGGTGAGTTGGTACGCTCTTATAGAGATCACTGGAAGACTTACCAAGCTGCTTCTCACCATCGCTATCATCGTCAAACACAGGCACCTTCGCCCTCTTCGCCTTCGCCTCCGCTTCTGACTTGGCCGCATCCTTCCGAGGCCGCTTCTGACCACGCGACTCCGCAGGTGGGCTGTCAAGCATGATGATGTCATCGTCCGAGCCGTCAAGCCTGTTCGCCACAGCCGCAGCCTCGTCCTCTTCACTCAAGCAGTACGGCGACCTATAACGGTGTCCGGACGAGGTGGAGACGGATGCGGCCGCATCAGGCTTGTTGCGTGTCACCGCCGCCGCCGTGTTCTTGTCACGCCGCAAGGATGCGGCCTTGTCCTTCGTGCGTGCTGCATCCTTTTCATGACTCTGTGTTGATGCGGCTGTGTCGTTGTCCCGTGTCGATGTGGCCGCGTCCTCGTCACGCATGGAGGTGGGGCCATCCTTGGCGCGTGTTGAGGTGTGTGTGCCCTTGCTGCGCATCGGGGTGGGGCCATCGCCGTCCTTGTCGCGCGTTGAGGTGCGCGCATCCTTGCCGCGCGTTGGTGCGGCTGCGTCCTTGTCACGTGGGGTGCGCTTGTCCTTGCCGCGCTTTGGGGTGGGCGCACTCTTGTTCTCTGGCATGCCGACGTTCTCCTGGGAGTGAATGGCAGACACTTGATGGTGAGTACAACCCCGGTAGTGGCATATTGTGCATATAACTCACCTTGGGTTTCTCCGTCTGCAGCTGCTCTTGCATTAGCTTCCAACGCTCTGTCGGCACTTTACGCCGTTTGCTGCCAACACCTTCCGTTGGTGAAGCGGGCCGCTTTTGGGTGCTGGGGTAGTAGATGACTCAGGTGCGGGCAACGACATCACTTATGAGGTGGGAGGGCGAGTGGAGATGGCAGGGTAGTTGTGGGGATACAGGCAGTTCGGTGGGGGTAGTCTGAGACCGCAATCAGGCTGCCATGGGTTATGTAATGTACTGTACAGCTGGTGGCGAAGCCACCGGCGCTTTAGCTATCATCCGCCGCGGCGCACAAGGGCGCTTGCACAGCTGTGGCGTTCAGTACATGCACGGGTACGCACGGGTCCCGCGGGCCGGCTGTGGGTACCCGCGATGTGCCGCGGGTCCTCTGACTACTACCCGTACCCTCACCCGCGTGACCCCCACCCGTGACCCGCGTGGGTTCTGCATACCCGTGATGATCCCTATTGTATATTACTTCTCCACCACCGCTCGTACGACCGTTACCGACAGCTACACTACCGGAGCTCGTACGACCGTTACCGACGGGCTACACGACCGGAGCTCGTACGAGCTCGTATGGCCGTTACCGACGGCAACATGACGGGGTCGTACCGCCGTTACCGACGGCTACAGAGGGGGAAGGGGGTCCACTGACGTCGTTGACGAAGACTCTTTCGCAACCAGCTTTCCCATCCTGCTCGCGCTTCAGCTCAAGCACGAAGACCCTCGTGTCCGGAAGATGCCTTACGGAATCACGCAGGACCAGTCCAGAGCGAAAGACTCGCACACACTCCCCAAGGGTACCTACCTCTGGCGCCTGGCAGAAATATCAAAGGAATATCGCGGAGGAGAATCGGGTGCTAGGGTGCTCACAGGCGGCTCTCTGTCTCGACTCTTCGACCTTGCGGTAAAGACACGCTTGAAATCGGAGCCTATCTCAGAGATAATCAGAGCTATCAAGACAAAACACGACCGGCTCCTGTCTCCTTGCGTCCGGTTCTCGCTGTCGGGACTGTGCGATGCCCATGACATGAAAAAGTGCAATGGGAAGCATGAAGACGGTGAACATCCTCTGAACCAGCGCGGTCTGCACCACAGAATAGAGCTTTGTCTATGGGTCATCAAGGTTTATGGCCTCGCTATTCGATTGGGAGACGTAGTGGCATGGAAAGAACGGTGCGCATTTATCTGCTCTACAACAGCACTTCTGATTAACTGTGGCTTAGAGTATACTGGATGCGCTCGCTATGGGAGTGTTTTCAAACACCTTTCTTTGATCTAGGAGACCTCTCGATGTTCGATATCCATCTCACTCCGTCTTGGCCCGAGGCGCTGAAGACGCTGCGACAATGGCTGGCGCGTATCCTTTACATCCCCGTCAAGCCAGGAGACGACAGCCTGAACGCTGAAGCTCGGTTTGATTTCATCCCGACTGCCTCCCATCTCAGCTACATCGTCGACGCGGTCCGGCAGCACGATACTCCGCCTGCTCACACAACTAGTGGCGGGAACGAATCCTGTGACACCGGGTTCCTTATGTTCGTCAACGGATTTGATCGCTTCCTACGACGCGAGAACGCGACCGTCCACTGGAAACACGTTCCCGGGGCGTTCCTATATCTGAGGTTCGTGTTCATCTGCCGTGTTCTCCTGGCTTCAGTGAATGTCAACTTCGTAGATTCATGGGAGAGGGAACGACTCGAATCGAATCCGCCTTCCAGACAAACCTCATCGGACATCTAACTGAAGGCCTCGCTTCCGCGATCGTCATCACTGGTCGTTACACAAGGCGGAACTCGGAGCTCCACAATCTGGAACTTCGAAGAATCTGGATAGTGAATCTCATGGAACTGTGGTATCCAACCACGGTCAACCGTTCTCCGCACGATTTCCCCACAAAACGGGACCTCATCAATCTCATCCCGAGGATTCTGGAAAGGGTACGGAACACGTCTCCTGCGGATGTGAAGTCGAGTGTCAAGCACCTGTGAGTATTCGTTGTCGTAACTTATATCAAGGCCTTCCAGCTGATGATGGCCGATTACGCAGAGGAACTGCACTTTATTTTCGTGAGCAGTCATTTATCAATAACTCTCCTCGTCGTCACTAAGATGGGGCTAGTGTTGCGTACGGTATCAAAGGGTTACGCCGTACAAAAGGAGGACATCGTACACATGCTACGGGGCGAAGACTGTGATTCGTTTGAGCGCGATGACTTCTGGTGCGTCCTCTGTCGTAGGATATGTGCACGCCGTTGACGAGTGGTCTAAGGTTCAATGTGACGGATTTCGTTTCCGCGCAAGAACGAATCAGAGGGACGAATACCGATCCAGCCAAAGCCCAGTCTTGGGACCAGATCGTCCAGATCAAGGACTCGCGGTACATCGACGACGACCCGGCTTCCACTCACAGAAACATCTGCGAGATCACATACTCTTCTGTTGACAACCTTCCTGGACTTCTCGAGATACCAAGGCCGCTCCGGCGCTCTCGCCAAGTCTCCACATTCCCTCAAGCATGGCTGGACGCAAGGGCATGTAATCCTCAATCTCACCCTTCCATTCTGGAGGTTGCGTCTCGCCACGATACAGTCGGCCCTGCGCCTACCCCCTACCACCTTCGGCCGGCGACTTCCGCAAAGAGAGTCCCAGATGCACCAGCTCTTGTTCAAGAAGGAGCAGTTGTCGATATTTCCCCTGACGTATCAGAGGTCCCACCCGTCTCTCGGGTCATCCCGACAGTCGACGCGGACGCCACCATCACCGAGGAGGCTGAGCCGGATGCATCACCCGCCGAGGCGAAGCCTAACGAGGCCGAACTGGTGATGGCAGCCGTTTTCTATGTGCACGTGTTCTTTCGCTGACGGCAAGTGCAGGAACCGGTCGACTCGAAGCCGGCGTCCAAACCACTGGCGTGGCAGGAGGTCTTCGACCAGTTCGCGGAGCACGTGCGCACCATGACATCCCCGGAGAACGAACATTATCGTCGCATGTGCCTCGGCCCTGCTCCTCATCTGTCCATCGCTGCACAGATAATGAAGGCCAAGCTCATCAAAATACGCAACGTTCTGAAGAAGAAAATAAAAGAAGCCCAGGGGGAAGAGCTCGACGCCGTGAACTCGATGCTGACGAATATGAAGTTCTGCCCATCGTTTATATCGCATGACCAACCAGCGCTGACATCCGTGAATTAGTGCACTCCAAAAGCAAGCCGATCAACTAACCAAGAAGGTTTCCCCAGCGGCTGCCGTACATCTGAAGCATGATGCGGAGGAACTCGAGGGATTGGTGCTCGAGGCGGACGCTATGCGGGTCAAGATACGGGATGCTTTATCCGAGACGGAGGCGTGGACGGAATCCGACAGTCACATGCAGCTCGCGATCGAAGGAATTGCGAAGGGGTGAGCGAAGCTATGCAGGATTTTGCGCAGTAATATGATTGCTATGTGATCTTTCCTTGAGTATTGTACACGCGCACGCGTATGCCACATGAATGAACGACACGTTCTGGCTCCGGTGCACGACGCGAAGTAACAACGTTTTTATCAAAATGGCACTCTATGCACCGGTTACCGTCACAAGACCTTGTTGACGATCGAGCACGTCTACATGAACCCGACAGTGGCCCAGTTCACAGTTGGCCACGACCCGAGGCTGAACGGCGAGGACGACGTCGCTCGAGGACGGGCTCGCGACCATAGGATTTTCCGCAAGTGCTATTGTGGGGAGTGTCAGATCACGCGAAGAGATACTGGTGCGGGATAGAGGAGCGGCTCGTTGCACGGTTCAGCGAGAACCTGGCTCGGGCGCTTGTGGTGAGCAGAGACGTTGTGCTGCCGCGGTCTGGGAGCGTAGGACGTTTGTTGGGTACAAAAAGCACCTTAAATATCCTACTGCAGTCGTGGTAAGTGCATCCAGGTTAGATACCTGCCAACGAATGGCCACACGCACACTGACCTGCTGAGCGAAAGCGCATAATACCAGCGACGAACTACGATCCGTATGGATATTCCGAAAGCAAACCTAAAATAAGGACGAACGCATCCTGTTAGTACCGTCAACCCAAGAAATCGATTGCGTAATCACCGTTGTGATCGGTCCTCAGGTCGAACTCCGAGCACTCAGTCACACTCCAGCTCTTCGCGGAGCTTCGCCAGGGAAGGGCGCTCTCTGTCCATCGCGGCGAAGGCGCACGGGGCAAGCTAGAACGATCCC